AGAAGCAACTAATGCTTGGCAAAAGAAATAATAAATCATATACAAAAGGAATTGGGGCTTCAGTGATGTGCATCACAAGAAGCAAAGACTTGTTCAGTAAATATACGTTGTATTACAGGTAGTCCTTGACTTACAATCATTTATTTAGCAACCGTACAAAGTTACAATGGCACTGAAAAAAGTGACTCGGGATCAGTTCCAATACTTCCAACATGGCAGCATCCTCATGGTCACATGATTAAAATTCCCAGTGCTTGGCAACCAGCGTATACATATAACAGTTGCAGTGTCCAAAATCATCCCTTCCAACCGTTCCAGCCAGCTTCCAAAAAGCAGTCAATGGGGAAGTTGGATTCGCTTAATAATCACATTATTTGCTTACCTATAGTGATTTACTTAACAATTGTGGCAAAAAAGATACAATAGGTCACAATTAATTTTACAATCGCTTTGCTTAGCAATGGAAATGCTGGTCCCAGTTGGGATCATAAATCAAGGGCTACCTGTATGTGCCATTTTTTTCCCCCTAGCATTTTCACACAAGTTCAGATTCCATCTTTTTAGGATCAAACTAGCACTGATCTATTGGTTACAACAGGAATTAACCCTCCGGCTTATTGTCTGAGCCTGACATCATGGCCTGAGACAGAGTGGCCCAAGTCACCCAACTGGCTTACATGGCTAGGACAGTATGGAACCTATAGTCTCCTGGTTTCTAGCCTGCTGCTTTAACCACTAGACCAAATGGCCTCTGTAGTATGCAATACAATGTGCAATATAATGTAATTGTATTAATTGATTCTTTGCCGGGCCGTGGCTTGCTGGCCACTGGGCCACGGAACAAGCTGGATACTGCATGCACATGTGTGTGTGCACTCACCCCCCACTCTCACTAGCGCCACCGCTGCTACGCAAACGGGACGCCGTGTGGCAAAAACAGGGCACCACATGGTGAAAACGGGGCAGTGCTAGTAAGATACTCGCAGTACTGTTTGTGTGTGCGCGCGTGCGCACGTAAAATGCTTCCCTCTCCCTTTGCCTCCAATCTACCAACCAAGAAAGGTTGGAGACCTCTGCTCTAAAATGTGATAAAAGACAGCATGGCTGCCATATGCTTCATAGTTGGAATAGAAATCATGCTAATAGGAGAAAAACTGCACCTAACCTTTTAGAAAATATTTCTTATAGCTAATTGCCCTATCATTTCATCATCTGTTCAAGAAGATTATTTTTACAAGATTTGACTGTGCATGATTTCACTATATTAGCAAGAGTTTACTTCAAGCATTGGAAGCTTGAAGTATCCAATAATTTCTTGCCCACAAGAAATTCTTTATTTTAGTGTAAAAGCAATTATCATTTACAAATGTGTGCTTGAATAAAAGGGTGCCTGGAAGACAGGACTCTTCAGTGACATCTTGCGCAGGTGCGATCTCTGTAGCTTTCTTCACCAGACTAATTGTGCAGTTCTATAATTTCCTAAACTGTTTTCATGTTCTTCCCGTCTCTTCTCCCCAGAGGCTGCCCCATTCTTCCATCTTTAATGATTCGTAGTACCATTGGCAAGTCAGAACATGCACAGCCCATGGTGATATAAGACCAGGAGATGGCAGGACTGTCAGAGCCCAGGGATCCTCCAGGGGAGGGCACTTTGGAGGCTGGGGCATTTTCTATTTCGTATTTGGCTGGCAACCGGCTGAACCTAGACGTCTACCCTGAGAGCTGCTGCTTGTTCCTCAAGCTGCTGGAGAGCAGGAGAGAAGAAGTTGAACAGGTGGAGTTCTTGAGGCTGAACTGCAATGAGGACCTTATCACTTCCACCCTGAGCAGCCTTCCTGCTTTGAGGGGCTTGAAATCTCTTGTGCTCAAAGGTAACGGCGTGTTTATCTGGCCGCTTTTGTTCAGCTCCTTCTAATGTGCTCTTTCAACAGTTTCTTCTTCTGCCATGATGGTTCATTTTGGTTCATTTTCTTGTAGCTTCTAGGAATGGTCTTGGACCAGTTCCTTCACAAAGTTATGTGGCAAGAGGCATGTGCATTTGTTTAGATGTTGTTCACATTCCTTAAAAGTGGCTTAACTTGCAGATAATGATGTGAAAGATTCTAGCCTTAGTGTTCTTCAATGGGAAACACCCACCCACCCACCCACACACACACACAATTTCCTGCTAGATTTTTTTTTGGCTGGTATGGATTACCACTGCAATGATGGAGGGTTCTCTGTTAGAAGGTTGCAATTTGTGATAGCATTCCTGTCAAACACAGATATTTTCACAACTGAGAGCATGCAAAAAAATACGAAATCAATAGAGCTGATTCCTCTGGCTTCTGTCCTCCCAAAGTTTATATGAATCTTGATTTCATAATCATGCAGCATAGTCAACTCATTTTAATAGTTGTGTAAAATTTCTAAACTGTTGTGGAAGACATATTTTTTCACATCTTTCATCTTTTTTTACAATTTTCATTGCATAAAACCAGCAATATTTTCTGTAATGTTGCTCAGCATTTGGAGGGGTATATATGTTTGTAAAATCACAGTAGATAATGTTTGATGCTGTTCTTTAAGCACAATGTGTCTTACTTAATTCCCCTCCGCCTTTCATTTGTGCAGAGGAGATTTCAATATTTAATTAAGTCTGGAATCTTTATCCTATTTTCCCTAAAGGATAGCCGTGGCAATCATTAGATCTTAAGTCTGAATGTATATTCAGAGAACTACACTCTTATTTCTGCACAGATTATGTACAAGTTAAATCTGCAAATGTAGAATCCTATTAAAGTCAGTGTCATACAACTCAGTCATATATATGAATGTGAGCCTAATATTTTTGCCTACTGTGTAAGTGAATAGCTAAAAAACAACCCCTTAGAAATGTCATTGTTATTAATATACTTATTAATAATAGTGAGTTAATGCTGAATATAAACCAGATAGCTCCCTCTTCTCAATTGCAGCTTCCCAGTTTAGTAATTTGTATCATTAGAGAGCTATTGGAGATGGACCAAGAGGCCCAAACAATGGTTCTATGTGCCCTTTCTGGTGTTCAAGGAGAATTTAACCATCTCTGTCTTGGCCTTTTTATTACCAATGTACCCTGAAAGAAGCAGGAGAACCTTGCCAAATATTCACTCACTACAGTTGTATCATATTGTTGTATGCATTCTTTAGCTTCCTGGGCATTCCTTAAAGTTTCGTTCTGTATTGCAAATTATTTCAAGTAAGTACCATGTCTGTAGGAAGTTGTTGTGGTGCAAACCTCCTCTTTCTTTTTTTTTTCTTTTTTTTTTTTACTTTTTCAGGTGGACACTCTAGAGATGACATTGGTGCATGTCAGAGAGGGTTGCTAGCATCTTTGCCACAAGAGTTTGGGCAGCTACAATGCCTTGCTCATCTAGATCTCAGCTTCAACAGCTTCGCAGTTTTACCTCCCTCCATTACTAAGCTGACCAGCCTCAGTTTTCTCTCAGTCAACCACAACAACTTGAAGAGGCTGCCTGAGGACTTTGGCCAGCTTGGCAAGCTGACTTTTTTCTCTGCCATGAAGAACCAGCTCAAAGGTCTGCCACAGAGCATTGGGGGGCTGGCAGCACTGCAGACACTGAACCTCTCTGAAAATGCACTGGAATCACTCCCTGAAGAGATTGGGAACATGCACAGCTGCACTGAACTTGATCTCTCTGGAAATGAATTAACAGGAATACCCAGTTCTCTTGGTAAGGTGTTTTGTTTACAAATTTTTTTTTTTAAAAAAAGGATATGGATTCCTTATTCTACTTTCTGGGAATAAGAAGTACCCTAGGTTAGGAAAAAACACTGACTGGGGAGACTGCGAAGCTTTAACCTGTGGGTAGAAAGCTGAGGTTAAAATTATAATAATCCATTTATGGCATTTTTGCAATCATCTATAATCCTGAATATATAATAGACTAAGCCTGATTTGCTTGGTACATTTATTAATTAGATGTCCTTGTATGGGTATATATCCATTTTAATCTACATGCATAGTTCTTTATACCATTAAAGGAGAATATTTTGTAGCTAATGGTTGAATTGAGGGGTCCTTGGTACTCTCCAAGTTTGCTTGTTTTCTTGCAGACGTTTCATTACCCAAACTAGCTAACATCATTGCTGGTGATGTTACCTAGTTTGGGTAATGAAACGTCTGCAAGAAAACAAGTTCAGAGAACACCAAGGACCCTTCATAGTTCTTTATAATTGATGCAGCAGTATGAATGTAAGGCTAAGAAATCAAGAACGCAGTGGTTGGTTGGTTGGTTGTTTTGTATCTTTAACAACTAGATTGGGATGGGTTGGCATAAGACTCCTGGTGTTTTCTAAAGGGATTTGTAATCTGTAGAGTTTAAGAGAAGTAGGTATATGTATGTATTTATTTGGTTTTACCACGGCTAGGTTTTCTTTCAATTTTTAATCTGCTTTGTGACCTGCAGCCAATTTACAGTCTCTGCAGCAGCTGCATCTTCACAGCAATCTTTTGACAACTGTTCCTGCCTCCCTTGCCTGCCTACCCCACTTGTCCAGACTTGATCTGCAGAATAATAGGCTTCGAAGCATCCCTCCAGAGATCCAGAATTTTCCTTTTGTGCATCTCCGGGGCAATCCTCTAGGAGAACTGGAGGTGCCTCTGCAATCAGGTAATTGCTTTTTTCTGCTTGATTTGCCTACTGAGCAGCTGTTCTCTGGCACTTTCATCTCATCCTGGGGAGAGAGCATCTGATCAACTATTTTGGCTGCCACAAAATGTTGTTGTTAAATGCAGTCCCCAAACTGAGGACATGGTCATTCGTCATACAAAATATATAGTAGGAAGGCATAATTGGAAAAATCACTTGAATTTCTTGTTGGTATTAGTTATTTGTTCCATTTTTTTTTTCAGCTGCCTAGTCAAAATAACTGTTTGGAATATATACAGCACTTAAATAAAACTAACTATAATTCATAAATCCTCTAAACAGAAAAATAAAAAAACAAGAAAGTAGAAAACAATTTTAACAAACAGAAAACAATTCCAAAGCAAGCTGAAAATTAAACACCCCAGAGCTGAAAGGCAATAGAAAAAAAATTAACAGGGCTAAATAAGCTACAATACATGAAAGACTTTTAATTTTTCAAATTAAAAGATTAAAGGTTTTTGAAATGTCTAGGGCAGTGGTTCTCAACCTGTGGGTCGGGACCCCATTTGGGGTCGATCAACCATTTCATGGGGGTCGCCAAGCAAGGCTGTCCGCCATTTTTTTTTGTTCGCCATTTTTTTCCCCCTTTTCCGGCGGGTGCCTTACCTCCCTTGGGCTGGGCCAGCTGGTGGTCGGCCTGCTCCGTCTCTGCCGCTTGCCAGCTACGCCTCGGCCGGCGCAGGGGGCGGAACCACGCATGCGCGGCGCTCCCGGGCAGGGAAAGTCCTTGACTTACGACCGGTTGGGTAGTCCTCGACTTACGACCAGTTTAGTCCTCGACTTACGACTGGTTTAGTCCTCGACTTACGACCGGTTGGGGTCGCGGCATTAAAAAGGTTGAGAACCACTGGTCTAGGGAATAATAGCAAGTCATTTATAATATGTCAGAAGAGCAGAAGAGTTTTATAATAGGTTAGTTGAGGAGGATATGTTCAGTTGGATAACTACTATAGAAAAGGTCCTTTTTCATGTGACTCCCTTTCACGTCTCAGATGCAGCTATGCTCATAAAAAAAAGTTGCATCACAGGCATCAGTTATAACATACTTATTATTTGTCATTTTTTTATTCATTTCTGTTCTTCCTTCTGGGAGCTCAAAGTGGCTCACGTGAAACTCTCTCCTTATGTTTTTCCACAGCAATAAAGAGAGATTAGGACATGGACAGGTCTCCCTAGATCAGTGGTGGCGAACCTATGGCACGGGTGCCAGAGGCGGCACTCAGAGCCCTCTCTGTGGGCACACGTGCTGTCACCCCAGTCCTAGGCCTTCAGATGGGTTTTATAAAACCTTTTTGCTTTAGGCCTCTGCTGCCGTGTGCAAAAAAAAAAAAAGGTTCAATCGGTCAATTTCAACTTCTCGCAGGAAAAAAAAAGATCTTGCAAAGTTGGAATTGATTGATTGAACTTTTTAGTCCCACCCAGTCGGCCATTACCACTGCAGCCACGCCCACCCAGTGGGCCACACCCACCCAATTGGCCACACCCACCCAATGGGCCACACCCACCCGGCACTTGACGATGCATAAGTGGGTTTTGGGTTGCAGTTTGGGCACTCAGACTCTAAAAGGTTCACCATCACTGCCCTAGATTATACTCTGGTTCTCAACCACAGACTAAAGCAGGGATCTTCAAACTCGGCCCTTTTATGACTTGTGGACTTCAACTCCCAGAATTCCTCAACCAGCTTGCCTGGCTGAGGAATTCTGGGAGTTGAAGTCCACAAGTCATAAATGGGCCAAGTTTGAAGACCCCTGGACTAAAGGAAGTCTTTTGTTTTCTTGCAGATGACTCTAGTTCAGAAGAATTGCAGAGAGTGCATCTTAAAGCTGATGAAGACAGGTATTTCATGTGGTGTTTAGCTGATATCTTGGTCAGGTGTCCTCCTAACTCCCCACTGATTTAGCCTACCTAGGCATCCAATACAAGCCATAATAACATAACAAATAATGCAAATTGCAGTCTTGTCATTTAAGCTATGACATTTGTGTGTTTTGTGATATAACGTCCTCCCAAAGATACCCCTGATAGCATCCATATTGTACCCAAAGTTTTTCTTAACCAATCTCATTCATTCAAATATGATTTTCTCAGTATTTAAATTCTCAGCTCATTCAAATTTTGTTTTTGAAGACTAAATAATTGCACAACAACTACTAATGGTTGAGCTTGTGCAATGAAACTAGGCATAGCTTACAAAGTGCCATCCCTGGGCAATTGTCATGATATTAGCTGCCTGGCAGGATCTCCTCAAGCTTAAAATTTGCATTCATGTGGGAAGGAAGAATGGGAACATCTGAGGAGGTAAAAGAGTGTCATCTTATTTTGCTATCTCAGCAAAGCATAGAAATTGTGTGTGGGTGTATATTTTTCTTCGTTGTTGTTATTGTTGCTTGTCCAGAAAGCTATGCATATTTCCTGAAGATTTAGGGAGAAAGAAATTATAACTAAAATTCCAGCTCATTTTTTGCAATCTTGGTACATTCTTTGATCATGATTGCAGGAACTGGCAACACAGGGGTCTACCCTGTTTAGCCCGTAGCCTTAAAAAAAAAACCTAAATTCCAGATGAAGCAAAGACAAAAGAGGTTGGACTCCAGCATCCTATGATCCACAACCAAATGTGAAGCATTGTTGTGGTTTATGGAAGTAGTAATCCATCCACAATCATTTTTTTATTTCAACTCTTCCATCTCAGCAAGAATGGAGATTATAAAGACATTTTGTTTCTTTTTGCACTTTCAAAGCTTTACCGTGACTCCTGAAGGCTGCCACATTTTCTTGGCTTGTGGCATTCAACTCCGTTTCCCACGGGATGCTACAACTATTCTAGTAACTATTCACTTCCAGAAACGCTCCCCTGACCCTCTTTGGGTGAAGCTGAAGCACCATGACATCCTGCTAAGTGAAGCCCTGGAACTGCAGCCCCATGGGATTCATTTCCAGCAGGTAAGCACAGATGAAGGTTTAAAAGATATTAAGCTGGAACTTTATCAATTCTCTTGTTCATGTTAGTCCGCAGATTTACAGTTTGCAGACTAACATGAACAAGAAGGAAAAAAATACGCAGAGCATGGCTTCTGGAACTCTTTACAATCGTTATTTTCTTCTGTGTGACTAAGTAATACGTTTGCCTTCTCTGAGTGTGATTCTGCTATTTCCTCTGATTGAGTCTGTATGTGTGCACTAGGAAGCGGAAAACAGGCTGCATGCCTAGACTTCACTTAGGACAATCAGCAGCATTTTGAGCTATTGCCCATCTTCCTCTCCTTCTAAAATGATTTTTCTTCTCCATGATCCCTGGATGGCTTTAGTCATTTTCAAGCTCAATCTTTCTTTGGATAGTTTTTTCTTGGACAGAAAAACATACAGGGTTCTGAGGAGCTGTACATCCTTTATTTCCATTGGGTTGTTGCACTGGGTTGCGGTGAATTAGTTGCTTGTTAAATAGGCTAATGCAGGAGTAGGCAACCTCGGCTCTTTTATGACTCATGGACTTCAACTCCCAGAATTTCTGAGTCAGCTATGAAGTCCATGAGTCACAAAAGAGCTGACGTTGCCTACCCCTGGGCTAATGAGCTGGATCATCTGATGGGCTCTTACTGAATTTTGAGTTTACAATAATATGGCTTTTCCCTCTCTCCCTCCCCACCACTCAGACACTAATCCAGATTAGAGACCTGGAATTTAGGAAATTAAGGGGAAAATGTTGTTGAATAAGTGCAGGCTGTCTGACTTTTGCTCAATGTCCCAGGAATTCTCCATCAGTTATGCAAAGGCTAATTGTAGTAATAGAAGAAATTATTTCCTAATTCAGAGAGAATTGGTTAGGACAGAGTTGAAACTAGGCTTCTCCCATTTTAGAAAATCCACCAAAAATGTATTCTTTGGGGTATATATGGAATGATTAAGCACGTGGATGCCTGCAAACAAAATATTATGAAATTACTGGGAGTTCTCAAAATTACTATAAGTTACAAAATACGATCATATCACTAGAACATGTAGCTAATTGTCTAGAATGAAATATCCCTGTTAAATATCCCTGTTTCTTTGCTAACCCCCTAAATCTTGGCAATGACATTCCATGCCAGGCTGTGATATACACTGAGCAGACTTGTTAAATAGGCTGCCTGACTTTGTTGTGTGGGCATCCATGTGAGGGAGAAGAGGGCCAAATGATGACCTGCCTGTGCCAATATCATGCATGCCATAACCAGAATGCAAATATATAATTATAGCCTTTGTGTGATAATATCATTGTACACATGCTATCATTTTGAGAGATTGTGGATGCTGCTGTTTGCAGCATCAACTTGATCAACAAGTTATGGGTGGAAAAGGATATTCATTCCTTTTCCATTTAGTATGAGGTGTAAATCCTTTTGAAGCATCATCTGTGAGAATCTGTAACTTTTATATATGGACAACTGCACTTTTGATGCCATAGTATGCTGGCTTCCATATGTTCACATCCCATTTCCTATACTGCCTTATTAGTATCATTTTTCTGCTCCCTGAAGTGAATCTTTCTCTTGCTCCAGATATTGCAGAGCTTGAGTAAGGTTGTTTCTCTGGGGTGAACTTATGGACACCCTCTCTTCTATCTTGGCATGCTAGGAGGTGCGGATCTGGATGCCCTATGCTTCTCCTCACAGCCTGAATGACCGTGAGCTCATAATTCGAACCTTTGATGGGCAGAACTGGAGTGATTTGAGAACAAAGGTGAAAGACAAAGGCAAGGTATGTTGAGGATGGTTCTAATACCTGTTTCTTCACTTGTTGTTTCTTCCTTGTGTCGAATGAGTGCCCCTCATTTGAGTTCCTGCAGGAACTTGACACGTAAATTCTGTCTGATATGAATGATCTCTTATAGTTTAGAACAGTTTCTCAATCTCAGCAACTTTAAGAAGTGTGGACTTCAACTCCAAGAATTAGGGACCCCCGACTCCATTGGCTGTGGCATTCCAGTCTGCAGTCTGTCTTGTGCCCTGGGAGTTGCATTCTGGGAGTTGAAATCCACACTTTTTAAAGTTGCTGAGGTTGAAATACACTGGTTTAGAAATTATCAAGCTCTTTGGTTAGCTTTTAAAGAAACATTCAGCATATCTGATTTCTGTGGACTAGTTCATATATAAATTCTTTGAAGAAACATGAACCCCCTCATGTGCTGGGAGACAGATGCCCTATTTTTTATTATATAAAGCTGATAAATAAGTAATGCCATTCATCCTAAGAGCACCAAGTTGAGGAAATCAAGCATGAGCCCTTTGTCCTTCTACTTACCTACTACGACTTATATGTCACTGAGCATCTTACATTTCCTCTTACAGTAAAAAGGGTAAAATACAAAAACAAAATAATAGCATAACTAATGAAGAAACTTAGGCTACTGAGAACTAAATCAGACACAACTCAGGTTACACTAGGTCCCCTCCCAGGGTCTTCTTTAAAAGCCAGATTTTAAAAGCTGTCCTAAAACAGCCAGCTGGGGACTAGCCTGATCTCGCTAGTAAGCCTTGAGTTATGATCTGCTATGGTAGTGAGTGGGTGTCCGTATCTTTCAAGTACTTCCGTATGTCCTGAAGGTTCTATTCATTCTTCCACATTCTTGGACAGAAGCGTTCGGCTTGCTGCAGCGTCTCTCACTTCTCCTGGTTTTTGGTGGTCTCACGCCTTGTGGAGGACAAATGCAAAGTCTCTCAGGAAGGGGGCTTGCTTTTTTCAACTGTTGATCCCAACATTAAAGTGACCTTTCCTCCTGGTGTGACCGGGGAGACGAGGACAGTGAAGCTTCAGGTAAGGAAGAAGCCGCCCACCCAGCCCATCCAAACAAATACAGATAAACATTGACTCTGAATAATCCAGACTTCCAGTAAAAAAAAAAATTGCCTGTGTTACAAGATCGAAAATCACCTGGTTCAAGTCACACAATTTGGATCATGTGAATTTAAAGCTATAAAGTTAAAAAAAAAAAAAACAGGTCCTGAAATATTTGTTTAATCCCATGTTTGACTTTTATAGCCAGCCCTCAATTTTTTTTTTCTTAGTTAACCCACATTGCTAATTTGTGAAATCTCATTAGGGATGTTGTTTAATTTCAGCCAGGGAGGATGGTGAGACTGCAAATAATCAGAGCCTGATTGCACTCTGCAATTCTGTGCATATTTTAATATCTTTATGGAGAACAGTATATGAGAAAAGTGGGTATTCAGTTTTTTCTAAAGGGTTCTAGTTTTCAGATCTGCACAGCCAAAAGAGAGATAAAGTTCAGGTTTACAATAAGTGCCTCCAGTGCTTGTTCAGGGCATGCCATTTTTCCAGAGTCTCTGATTCATTCACCTTCTCCATCCAGCTCTGTTGCTGCCACATATTGTTTCTTCTTCTTGACGTTCATCTCTAAGACAAAAGATTAGCTTACGTAAAATGTGTGCTTGTTTGTGCGTATCACATTCAGAATAAAGCATACTATTTGCCTGCATTTTGTAGAACAACAGTTTGGGTCCTTTGCAAGATTTATATTTTGGTGGAGCATTTATTTGCTGTTGCTTTTTTTAAACGAGTCTCTGAGTCACCTGAACAGTGTTTCAGTTTCTGAGTCGTCTGTCAGAAATGAAAGGTGCTGGCCATGCTTAATTTTAATGCCATAAATATTTTTTTTAAAGTTTCAAAACCAAAGGCTACCACTTCTTCCCATTCAGCAAAAAATATTGACCCAGACAACCTTTCTCTGCTTGAGAGGATATTTTCTTGTCTGAAGATTAGGAACACTCAAGATTTACAACAAAATCAAGGAATTGCTGAGCTGTCTCTGCTTTTACTTCTCTGAGGCAGATTTGAGAATAACTGGGAAGGCTGGCCCAAGAGCCTGCACAAGGATCAAATTGAGGCCTGAACCTGTGGCCAGAATCCAAGAGGTTTCCTGTTTATTTTTTTCCAAGGGTATCCCTTAAATTCTGTCAGATTCCTCTCCAGTAAGTCTCTTTTGGTTGTGGGAAGAGGCCTTAAGAGATTCTTCATGCATGGAAGCCCACACACTCTTGAATGGGCCCAATTGTCCTTTTCTTTTTCTTTTTTCTTTCAGGTGCTTCCTGTATCAACAAAGGAGCTAAGAGAGATTACTGGTGATACTGAAACAATTGCCAGCCCTCTCCTTTGCCTCTCTCAGAGTTCCACTGTGGACTTTCTTCAGCCTGTTAAAATTCAGCTTCCACTGCCTCCTGGTGTCACAGGTTAGTTTCCCAGTTTTTTGGTTTTTTTAAAATGTTTTCATGGGATGGGAATATTTCTTTAAAATATGCAGCTCCCTGAATTTCAAGAGCAGTTCAATGCCTTGATACAGTTAAATGCGATTTCCAGACCATTTATCTTCTGCGGAGGAAATTAGGTTAAGTTCTTAAGGATAGGCATTGCAAAAGTTTAGGGCAGTTTAGCTCTATCCTGTGGAACATTCATTGTTTACATTTGGTCAAACTGTCATAGTCCTTTCCAAATCTATCTCATCAGTGACATAAGCCAACCTCCATCCCCTCTGATGCAATTATAAACTGAAAAGAGTTCAACCTTTAAGTTTATGGCTAACACCTTTTTATTTTTTTCTCAGGTCTAACCTTGGATCGTTCCAGAATACATTTGTTGCACAGTGACTGGGCTGCTCAGAACTGGAGTGACATCACTGATCAAGTGATACTGGAGTTCACCCACCTCTATGCCTTATTTGAAGTAACACACTTCTCTTGGTTAGTGGGCCAGAGATCATAATCTTAACTTCGGTAGCATTTAAGTGGTTGTGGACTCTGTGGCTAGGCATCATTTGGGCCAGCGGTTTTCTTTCTATGGTAAGCAGCAAATGTTCTCAGCTGGCCTTTACATCATATTTACAACAGAATTGATATGCATTTGGAGCATTTTTCTTGACCATAAGAGCTGAAGCCCTGCTTGTACAGTTGTTTCCAAAACAATTTGTCTGACATGGTATAGAGCAGGGGTCCCCAACCCCCGGTCCGTGGACCAGTACCAGGTCATGGCATGCCAGCAACCGGGCCACACAAACAAGCAAAGCCCCATCCATGGGATGCAGGCAGCACACAAAATCACACACTCTCCGGTCCATGGAAAAACCTTTCTCCACAGAACCGGTCCCTGGTGCCCAAAAGGTTGGGGACCTCTGGTATAGAGTCTCCTACATGAGCTGGGGGTTCGACTAGAAGACCTCCAAGGTCCCTTCTAATTCTGTTATTCTGTTAAGTGATTGGAAACAAGCCGGTCCCACATTTTGCCAAGATTGCTTCTTCTTTAGAATGCTTCAAAAGTCCTGGCATGGTGGACACCAAGCAATCCAGATACAGGGGGCCTTCCTTATGCAGGGCCTCATTATCTGCAGTTGCTAAGCAGAGACCAGACCTCAATATAAATATAAAGGTTTTTCCATATCTGAAATTTAGACTTTGTTTTTGTTATTTTATGCGTGTAATGGCACACGGTATTTGGTGTATGTGTAATGTACATTTTAAAAATGTAGCGTAGCTGCTGTATATTTGTTCCTCCTCCTGCATCACATTTTACTGAGTCAGCCTGGGGACCCAGGCTTCATATGGCTTTTCATAGCAACTGACTTTCTCTGACTTGCTTAGCTATGATGGAGGGAATCAACCAATGTGCACCCACGTGGCTCAAGCTGACTTCTCTGCTGCTCAGAGTCAGAGTCTCTTGATCCTGCTATTGAATACTCACACGGACTCCAGAACTGTCCACTTCCTGCTCACTGGAGCAGCACCAGCTATGGTTGCCAGCACTGTGGTTGGAAGCTTTGTAGAGATAAGTTTCTCCAGTTGTGGTGAGGTGTGAACACCCTGCAGGTAATACTGGTATCCAGTAGTAGCATGATCAAGGGACACTTCCACTGACATCATAAAAGAACTGTGCAAACTGGAAAAGCCGATATGAGCCACGTGGCACAAGTGAGACAACTCCCTCCATCACCTACCATGACAAGTGGGGTAAAGATGAAGGTAGAGAGCTGCCACAAGGAAACCAGTGGGAAAAAGGAGAAGGATAAACAAATACAGGTATATTGCACAGACAGTTTTTTGGGAGGTAGAGAACACTTATAAATGCCAGAACCCAATGCGTAGTTCCCATTGATTCAAAGTCCCATTGGCTACAGTACCTTTATGCATAATTTTATGCTGGAATAGAACTTCTCTTGAACAGCAAAGGCCTCATTTGTTTCCATTTTGTTTATAGAGTTGAACTTTTCATCCTTGTGTTTAGTGGATGTAGCCACTATGAACTGCATCTCTTTTCCTGCATGTCATTTCAGACTATTCTTTTTTTTTAAATGGCTCTTCTGATGAAACTTAAATAGGTGACCCAAATAGCTAATTTGGTATAATGGTAAAGGTGCTGGCCTAGAAACCAGGAGACTCTGAGTTATAGTCCTGCCTTAGGTACAAAAACCAGCTGGGTGACTTTGGGCCAGTCATTTTCTCTTAACCCTACCCTACTCTTGCAGGGTGGTTATTGTGGGTGGTTATTGTGGGGAAAAAGAGGAGGAAGGAGTATTACATATATTCACCGTCTTGAGTTACTCATAAAGTAAAAAAAAATCTAATGAATACGTTCTTTTAGTATAAAATAATTCATATCATGCATTTTTTTTCCATTCATGAAGCAATTGTTTTAGCCCTCGTGTATTCATATTTTTAAGTGGTTGACTTTATCAGGGAAGACCTGGACCAATCAAAATCATTTTACAAATCTCCCCGTCTCTCCAGGTACTGGTTATGGTGCACCACAAAAGCCTACATTGGTGGCTTTGCTAAAGAAGTCTATAAAAGATTGCGCATGTACCAGGTGAATTTCATAGCACTACAGAGAAAGAAAGATCCAGAGCAAGTCTTGCTCCAATGCCTCCCAAAGCACAAGGTGGGTATTTCTATGTGTGTATGAGTACACCCTGCACATCCCTGCATGTACAGATGCATACATTTGCCCATTTCATAGGAAATGAAGCTTGTATTCTGCAAACACAAAGTTGTTCTAGCATCCAGAGTTTTAGAAACAGGAATATAATGAGGAATAAGTTGGAATAAGTAGGAGTAAGTGAGGAATGTAGCTATCTCTGAATAATGTTTCCTTCATTTAAAGCTGAACTTGGCCTTTAAGTGTGTGTCTCGGGCCAGACTTATAAAAATAAGATGTAGAACCGAACGAAACAAAATTCATTTGCAATTACATGATGTACATAATCATATAAGCAGCTTTTGGAGTTCAAATGGAAGATCACAACTCCAAAATGCTTCAGTTCTAGGGAAGGATTTGCAGGTTTCAATACATTTTAGGAGAGGTGAGATCAGCAAACATGGAGGGAAGAGAGGAAAATTATTTGATGAAAAATTTCATTAGATTATTATTGGATGCTGCACCACTTGGATGAGTGGGTATTAGGTACATTGCTTCAACTTTCTATGAGCGTATACTTTTCTGCTGTTCCTCAGACCAGCTTCCATTGCCCTGACTCCTTAAAACACCAGCATATTTTTTTCCAGTCTTTTGTGGAATTGTTACTAGTTATGTGAGCTCATATCAAATGTATTGCATTTGAGCAAGCCTCCAGAGGCTCTGTTCCTTGGAAACCTGAATCTTCCCATTGCAGTGGTACAAGGATAAAGAAATGAGGATTTTAAAAATAATGTTCCAGTGTCTTTACTCCTTTTTGATGGTCTTTTAGGTGGATCCTGTTTTGAAAAAGCTCCTTGACCGATATCGAGGCCCTGAGCCATCCGATATTGTGGAGATGTTTGAAGGGGAACAGTTCTTTGCAGCCTTTGAACAAGGCATCAGCATTGATGCAGGTGAAATGTCAAACAGCTTGCCTGTGTTTACATATGTATGCCTCCATAATTCAAGTTTAGTCCTGCAATTCCAAATCAGCTCATAACAATAACAATAGCACTTATATATAGCACTCCATAGTGCTTTACAGCACTCCCTAAGTGGAGCCGGTAAGGATTGAACTCCTGGCTGTGGGCAAAGTTAGCCTGCAATATTGCACCTTAACCACTGCGCCACCAGAGCTCATCTTAAAAGAACTAACAAAAGACAGAATCAGTTGCACAGGCAGAACCTGGATGTATCTTAATCCCACATTATATGGTGTCGTACTGAGGCCTCTATCTGAAAAACAACAAATACAAGTTCTCCTGCCTCTGACTATATAACTCCCTTCCCTCTGCGCCTCCACCCCACCCTGGGACTATTTCCTAATTTCTAATTTATGGATAAGGATGAAATTCCTTTTCTGAATTTCCCAGGAAAAGTTTCAGTTGATTTAAACTATTGCAGATCAATGTTATGTATGCATTCCCCATTGCTTGAAAATTTCAAGGATAGAGTCCTAGGATGGAGGACCCATTATATTAATGTTAAAAGGCCTTTAACTGAAAATGGCTGGTTTTGCCGCCTCAACAGATTCTTTCAAGTGACAATTTAAGTAATAAATGTGGGATACATTATATCTAAACCATATGGTTTGCCAATGAGTGGCAAAATTTACAATTTACTTTGAGACTGAGGATGGGGGAAAATGAAAGTTAAGATGACTTAGTTTCAAAATTCTGTTTCTTGTGGGACAAAAACTTGTAAAAAAAAATTTAGTCTTTCTAACAGCCTTCCCAAACCTATGGTAGCTGAGAATTTCAGAAGTTATGTTCCACCCCATTTGGAGAACAACTAGCTGCGGGAAGCTATTTTATAAAAATGAGATTATTTGTGATTTAAGCCAATTGAATTATTTTCTCAAACTTATTTCAGACCGCCCAGACTGCATTGATGGAAGGATTTCATTCAACTTTTTTTCTCATTTGAAAAATGTGAAGGAAGTCTATATTACCTCTGAAGTGGACAGAAACAGCAAGCCTGTGAAAGGGCAGGTACATATGCTTCTCCTCTTGTCCACAGTAAAACTCCCCATAACAGTTTGTACCCCAGTTAATTAATACTAGCATATCAATTCTTTTTCCTCTTTGTCTGAGTCCAGTGGCATAACTTATTTATATTCTCTGATTCCATAATTCAAAAGATGAACGTATAATTTTGATTGTAATACATTGTAATAAATATTATCTTCCAAATATTTTGTAGAATGTGCTTCATGGATGGCTGACGTTCACAGTTTAATCCAAAGCCACCTTATCTCAGGATTTTTTAAAAAAGTATCTTTTTAAGAGGGCTATTCCAACTGTGCAGGCTTTATGTCAAAAGTTCTACTGCCCAGGATGCTTTCTTCTGGTTCTCATGTTATTATTTTCCCCTTATATAGTCCCACTGTCTCTAGTATTAAATGCTATAAAAACTCAGGACTTAAGTACATGCAAAATGTTTGTTAAGCAAATCCTTTTCAGCTACTTTGCAAACCATAACTAATTTCGTACACTACAGGGATCATAACATGGTTTATTTGTTTTTGACTTATTGTTGACACGAACACAGCTGATTATTGCTCATCTCAACAGCTCGGTAAGCAAATCATGGCTGACGTGTGAGCCTTGTCATATTTCATAGCATTTAACTTAATACAGATTTAATTTCATTATTAAGCATAGTTAAGCTAGAGCTTACAAATTCATAGTTTGTAGGAGCAAAAGAAGAGAGCCAGTTGTGGCGTAGTGGTTAAGGCACCAGCCTAGAAACTGGGAGACCTTGAATTCTGTTGTTTTAGGCACAATGTCAGCTGAGCAACTTTGGGCCAGTCGGCCTCTCTCAGCCCTGGGAAAGAGGCAATGGCAAATCACTTCTGAAAGTGATTCAAGAAAACACAAGAAAGATTTCAACATTGACGAAGGTATAAAAGAAATGTTTGGGGGAGGGGAGGCAAAAGAATGAGCAGAGCAAATCCCAGGTAATCAAAACCATAGCAATAATTCTCAACAGATTGGTCTAATAATAGGCGCACGATAATATGCCGGGTCAGATTATTTGCTTTATATTCAGTTCATGCTAGAACCTCTACAAATAAATGCATAAGTAAGTAACCTCCCAAATGAGAGAACACCGACATCTCAACCAGCCGTGATTCTTTCAAACCCATCTAAGGCTGATCTCTTTTTGTAGGTTTCCTTTTATCGAGGAGATGTGCCAGAGAGCATTCCGGAAGAGATTACAAGGAGGAGGAAGGGCCCTGACTCTCATTGGCTAGCTACCTTGCCAATCAAGCTACCTGTAAGTGCTATTCACAAAGAAGAATTGACACGTGCAGCAGCTTGGATGGCTGTTCTTTTTTTCCCCCTGGCCTTGCAGGCTGGGAAGTGTCTTGTATAGGCACTTTTGTGTATGTAAGGCAGTCACCCCACGTTTTGCTGGTTTTCCCATTCCTTTCTCCACCTTTGAGACAGAATGATCTTAGGAGTAAGAGAGGAGAGTATACTGGGGGGGGGGGGGGAAGGCTGTAGTGGAAAGAATTGCTGCACTCACACTGCATTCAGTCCTTGAAGGAGTGCTTCCAGTTGGCCTGTGCAAATTCATTGGAACAAGGCCAGTAAGAAAGGCAGTCGTCCTAACGGGGTGCAAGTACCTTGGACCAAAATGCGTCTGATACTGCGGCAGAGCTGGCTGGATCAAGATTAATAAAGCAGAAAAAAGGGAGCGTTCTCCATATATCTTGAAAGGATGAGAGGAAGTGCCCTTCTGTTAAGCCAGTGTTTCTCAACCTTGACAATTTTAAGGCATGTGGACTTCAACTCCCAGAATTCCACAGCCAGCAATGCTGGCTGTGGAATTCTGGGAGTTGAAGTCCACATGCCTTAAAATTGTCAAGGTTGAGAAACACTGTGTTAAGCAATGGGTATTTATATTATATTTATATTCCTTCATTATCCCAAGCAGATAAAGCTACAGTGCATTACTGTTTTTCCTCTGAGAAGAGTGTACTGTTCAATGCCAACTTCTTGATGGCTGATCCTTGATATTCTGCAAAAGCAGTCTTGTTATTAAGACACAGCACAGATTGTCTTATGCAGTTACTCCTTTAATATTTCACATGAAATATCCTTTATATCATGATATAGCATTAGTGGACAGAGAGAATATTGATTGTTTTTTAATAGTTGCTTATTTATTTATTTTATTTTATTTAAAACACTTACACAACCACGCATCTTATACCAGAGTCTAGAATGATGGCTCCCAATCAAGAATTAAATAATAAAATAACCTTAAAACCATATGAGAACTATTAAAACCATAACATATACAATTTAGTTGCTGAATGTTAAAAGGCCTCCTTTGGGGTGAAACAGGAAAAGGTTTTGCTATTTTGTACCGACGTGTACTTACGTTTGATGTTGTTCATGTTATCAGCTGTATGAAACCATATAAAATATTTTACATAACTGAAAATGAAATACTTAGGAAGGGAGACTATTAAGAATAATTTGTACATAAGAGTTGGTGGTTGGAACTTGAAACATTTGAATGCTGCCTGACTAAAGACTAGATGAGGATTGTGTGCAAGGTTCTGAAAAACTATTTAAGTTGGTTATGTTTGCTTGGGAAAATAATTCCATTTTTTTTAAAAAAAACCTTTTGACTGCCAATCAATTATCTATTATCTATAGACAATTATCAATTATCTATAGACAATTAATACACTTTCAATAAACATGTACCAAAGTTGTTGTTGGGTTCATTCAGTTCAATAAGGGAAGCATGTTTTAATCCACTGGTTTCTTTAACTGACAATTTATAATAGCATAATGTGGGTTTTCGCTATATAATAATAATAATAGTAAAGTTGGAAGGGACCTTGAAGGTCATCTAGTCCAATCCCCTGCTCAGGCAGGAAACCCTATACCATTTTGGACAAATGGCTGTCCAGTCTCTTCTTAAAAACTTCCAGTGTTGGAGCATTCACCGCTTAACAGAGTTTAATAGAGTTTCTCTAAAATAGCCTGCTTTTATAAAGGAGAACTTTTCTAACGTTCAAATATTAAGATTTTAGCTGTTTTAGCTCACAAGTATGCACTTCTGATCGTAAGGATACTTTCTAATTTATAAACAGAAACACACTCATATTTTGATAGCAACTATGTTATATAATTGCATATATACTATATATTTAGCATAAATTCATATTCCAGGCCATTTCGTTGGTCATAAAATTCCTAAGAGATTAGATGTAAGCAAGAAGATGCCTACCTTTCATTTAGATAAATATTCCAAATTAATGCCTTTATTAATACCTAACCTTTTATTGCCCATTCCTAATTCAAAGTTCACTGTTACCTTCTTACTATAACATCAGTCTTTTCTACCATATCATACCTCCAGTTCACATGTTGACGCTTTCCGTAAGTCAAAATAAATCAACCTCTGTTAACCATTAACTGATAAGCAAAACTTTTAAGTATATTTTTGACCTTGAATGATGATTGACCCTTCAGCAGATTTCAGATAACTTCTGACCAGGAGAGTTTATAACCCATCATTACTCAAGTCTCTTTCTGGCTGAGGCTGGTAGGACCTTAATAAGATGGCATCTAAACCACCTTGTGTGTGTATAAGTTCATATATATTTACCAAAACTCATGGTGAACCAACTTGTGCCTTTATGACTCTTCCTTTAATATAATCTCTACTTTTTGTTTATGAAGTCAAATATCATTTTAATGTTTACTTTTTATGTAATTCATTTATGGTAGACCAGAGGACTATATTTTAGCTGAAGATATGTACTGTTTCTTATTCTCTTTTTGAAGAACTAGTTAATATTAGTGGGTAGAAAACTTCCTCCTTTATACTTTAAAGAGGTATCTTTGAACAAAGAACAGACTACATTGGCACAAAAGCTAAATTACTAATAGCAAAAGTTGTTATTTTTTTTCTAATTTTAAAATCAGAAGCAAAAACAAGATTGGATAAATGTTGTCCCAGTCAGCAACATTAGTGATCAAGAGGACAGAAGTTGGAAGTCCAACAGAACTTGTAGTCTTTTTCAACTGGGGAAAGGATGTCTTTCTCTAAATCCGTAGTAGTTAAACAAATTGCCAGAACACACCAAACCAGTTATGGTTTTTTTTTCCAGGACTCGATGCTGAATGGAAGACAATTGACCATAATTGTACATTGAATATGGTTCAATTTCAATATTTTATACATTTACCTGAAATTAATTCTAAATACATATCCATAACAGTGCAGTATCCATCTCTATAGAGCTAAATCAGCTAAATTTAAATGATGAGGGTAGTTGAAAGTTAGTTGAGCACACAAGAAACTTCATGCTAAGGTCAGTTCAACATGAGAATCAATTATCCAAAGAGACAGTGCTCTCTGATTCAAGATCCAAGACTGGACAGTCACAGTCACGTTTTATAACATGTCATGAATAACAGGATAATATGTTAATACGTGACAACATGTTATCTTCTGTTCTACCAGAAACTGAAAACTCAGGTAAACAAGCAGCCCACAACTCCAAATGGCTTCTCTCTTCCTCCTTTGAATTTGGGGAATGCTGAAACTGGCTACTTGACTCAGTCCAACCTCCTTGGCATTGCTGGACGCATAGGAGCTGAATGGAGAATCATTGGTTTAAACCTGGGATTGTCCTATCAGCAGCTGGAGCGGATACAGTATAACAGCAGGTGAGAAATGAAAAAACTGAAATTAATTCAGGAAACATGACCTGGAGCATCAATAATCCCGCTGCCTATATCCTCATTTTGTATCTTAGATGATAAAAAGTATTTTTTTTTCTTTTTGCCTTGGAATTGTCATACGATTCAGGAATTCTATTTTGCTTGTTTATTATGTATGATGTTTGTCCGACAGAATTTACATAGAGAAATCAGAATCAAAATAAAAATTAATTAAAACAGCAAATCGAAGGCTATAATTATAGAAAATTATACTGTTACGCATAGTTAATCCTCAAAGGCTCTTCGGAAGAGCCATCTTTATAATCTGCTTCTGAGACACCCTGAAGGTTGGGTCATCTGTCCTTCAAGAGGTAATCTACTCCATCTAAAGAGAACTGCTTCAGGCGAGCTTACCACTGGGGTGGAATGTCTCTGCAGGAACACAGGGCAAGGAGCAAGGCAGTTAGGGAGTTAACCATTACAGAAAAAAAAAATCCTTATTTTGATTTTTTTTATTGATTATGTGCCATTAAGTTGTTCTTAACTCTTAGCAACTGTGTAAATAAATTTTCTCCTTGATGAGCTATCAGTAAGCCGGACCTTTCCAATGGTGCACCTGTGGCTATTACAACGGAGCCTATCTACCTTGCTGCTGGTCATTCTCTTATCTTTCCCAAACCTGTTTCTCAGGAAGATGATCAAAAGCCAGAGAACACACAGACCTGGAATCAGTCAGTCTCTGAATCAACAGCAACTCTTGTCTTATTTGGTCGAGTCAAAACCTGTTTTCCCCCACCCAAACTCCAACAGCCTTCACATGCTGGGTTATGATATCCGCTGCATGTTAGGCTTTGGATAGAAAGGTGTAACTTAATATCATCTGCATATTAATGATACTTCATCCCAAACCAGCAAATGACTTCGGTCAGCAGTTTCATGTAAATATTGCACAGGATAGGGGAAAGGGAGACAGTCCATAATGAAGTTTTTTTGAAGGCTAACCTCCTTCTTTACCATAACCACCTGACTTCAGAAGCATCATAACATCATGCCTCCAAATCTCACCCATGTGGGTGATCCAGAAAGATACTGTAGTCAACTGCATTGAAAACCGTTGAAAATCCAGGACTATAGTAATAGTTATGCCACCCTTGTTCAAGCCCCACCACCAGTCATCTGTGATAGCAATCAATTTCTGTCTATACCCAGTCTGAACCCAGATAGTTAAAGTTGTGATAATCCATATTCTCCATAGCCCTCTGTAGCCTCTCAACTTTCTCAGTACCTTACATCTAGAAAGAAAACTTAGTTATAGTACAATGCTTGTTTAATTTTGTTGGATCTAGTTTTGGCCTCTTAATGAGTGGATAAACCTCTTTAAGGACTTCTTCCCTTCCCTTAAAGAAATATTGACTATAGCTTGAGTCCAATTCCTAGTTATCTCCTTCGCTATTTCAGTTAGTCTGGTGGGGCAAGGACCTAATCCAGAGGTAGTGGAGATAAGATCACAGAGGACTATCCACTTCCTTGGAATTCATAAGTTCAAAAACCGCCTAGATAATATTACCTCTGTCATCTCAGATGTTTCTTCTTCCACGTGCAAGTGATTTTATCTACAAGATGCTCAGCAGGTGATCCCAGCTATCTCTGACTAGATCTTCCAGTCCATCCTTCCTTCAGAGGGACCAGGACACTTTCACAGTGTGGCTGATCAGCATTTTGACTTAAATGGCTAGCATGGGGGGCACGCATGCAGTTGTTAACCAATCCTTGCAGGTTAATATTTCATGCAAGTACAACCCGTGGGGTTTACATGCTTTCCATGAGCACAAGTATTGCAACTTCCTTACCCCCAGGATACCCCTAACATAAGTTTGGCTTACTCTACTACCTTTGCCCTCAGGTCATAAAGATGTTTTTTCCTATTCAGAAGACATTAAACTGGGTTGCTGCTGAAATTAATGAGCTACTGATTACTGCTTTTTTTACAGGTGGCCATTTTATGCTGCCCAGAGTCTCTTGATAGCGAGACAGCAGCATGTACATTTAATAAAGAAATAAAAATAAATTAAAAAATTATGCCTTATCATGTAAATTGATAGGATCACACTGAAAGGTATTGATATTGATATTGATTTTGATACTTAAAGCAAATGAGACTTTCATATGATACAAACCTATTTTTTCGCTGTTGTTTTATTCTCTCCCCAGGGAAGATCTCCATACTCAGATTCTAGATATGCTCTTCTCCTGGGCTCAGCAAAATGAAAAGAAGCCTGACTGCATAGACAAGCTGATTAAGGCCATGCAAGATAGTGGCCGCCAAGACATAGCAGATGAGATCACCACCATCATTGGATTGGGAAGGCAAAAATATACCGAGTCCATCCAGAGGGTAGGCCTGGACCGGGAAAGTAGTACAGAAGATTCTGCTATTGCTACAGGATGATTGCTAGACAATTATGGATTAGTCAACAAAATAGGATTAATCAAATCCAGGCTATTCCTTCTTCAAGATTATTGGTACTGTCCAATTCTTCTCTTTAGTGTTTTGCTGCCAATTAGCTATGCTTATGTGCCACCGGTGGCTTTTACTAGATCCTTGTAAGCAGCTACTTGCAAGTTCACCTGGGATAAGTTAAGATTCCCAACTACGTTTTACTAAAGTTCTACTTTTTTAGGGCAAAAATGACTTTAAAATACATAAGGCAGACCAGTGCACAATACTTCCTATGGAGCCTAAAACTTTTTTGTTTGTTTGTTTGTCTGTTCCTTGTGGGTAGAACCTCTGAGTTTTGAAAGTGGGTCAACTGGGCTCTCTTAGGGATATGCACAGTTTAGAAGCAAACAGCACATTTTTCAATTGTTTTTTGATGTGATCCTTGGCTTTACTTCAGCACTTGGACCCTGCAGGACCTCTTATTTTGGGGGTTAAGAAAATACACTGTACTAAAACTTTGGCTCCTTCCTCTCCTAGGTAGATAGCTGTTCTTTTACTGATAGTGATAGGGAATTTCTGTCATGTTTTAAGTTATCTCGCAGCAGTCATGAACTAGGGGCTGTGCTGTTGTGATTTAACACAGTGGTCTTTCATAATTTGTTTCATCCTTTGGGATGTTATCATCTGTACTAAAACTGAATCGTTCTTCCACATTTTATTTTGCACCTAACCTATTTTTGTCAGGTACTTGCAGGAAAAAAGGAAGAGCATTGAAGAACATTAAACCACAAGAGTTGCTTCCAGCCCCACTTTGGTCCTTCTAAAATTTTCCTTTAAAAATAAATAAATACATAAATAAATCAAAATAAAAGCCTAGTAGACCATAAATAGACTGCACAACATCCTCTGACGAACGCTAGGACCAGATGTTGTAAATTACTGTATCTCTGACTCCACAAAATATATTAATGTCACATTAATGAATTATAATACTTAACCATTGTTATTTGTAAATTGCAATTTATGGCTTAGTATTATATATGAGTCCAATAATTTTGGTTTACTCAGTAGGCTGTGGTTAAACAAATTATGTCAATCAAGGTAATGTATCAGATCCAGGGCAAATTATCCCAGGTAGTTCCACAACCATTTATCTTGGATAGCTAAGACACAATCATGGCTGTAGTCAAAGTCATCTGATTATTAGGACAATTTTGGTTTAGGTGTTGTTGTTTTTTTAGATTTTTCTCCAAACATTTCTGCTTTTGAGTCACTTTATCCACTTTTAGCTAGGTTGACTAGAGTTGTGGCTAGAGTTTTATTGCTTATAAAATGTAAGGTTAAATTTAGAATTGTTCAGTTTTTTAAAATAATATTACAACGGTATATGTGTTGAAAGTTGATCTTGATGTTGAAAACGGCTTTCTAATCCTTTCTAATCCTTTTGTGTCACCGCTCAGAAATGAGAAGGCAGCTGTCATATTTCCATCCTTTCCTTTCTTACCCTTCAGCGTTTGCTTTTTGTTTCTTGCCATCCTTTTTTCGTCCCTGATCCTCTCCGCTTCAGCTGCCCCTTTAGGATCAGTCTTCATATAAAGTGAACAATTTTATTGTGTTTTTTAAAAAAACAACAACAACAACTGGCCATCTTAAAACTGTCCAAAGAAACTGGAAGCAGCCTGATCGTTGTTTCTGTAAGCCATCAAGCCAGTTCTAATCAATGCTCCTTTTTACAGAAACAGATGTCTTTGATAAATGCATTTCTACTTTTTAATCCTCGTGTCCTGGCAGGCGGTTCAGACTGCTGCACTGTTTGGCTATAAATGCTTTTTAAGACAATTGTGATTTTTTTTAATTTAAAGTAAAGCTGTTTGATATTTTCTTCAGTTGTTGATAAAAGGAAGTTTTCCCCATTTGGAAAGCTGTGGTATTTTACTTGATGTTCAAGCTGTCCATAAGCATCAACCAGATGGATTTTTCTTGGTCCTGCTAGCCCTTCATCTCTGTTCTAACAAGACCTTAAGCGTTGTCTCCCCTCTTAGAAAGAATTGCCAAGGAGCTATTATTCCTACATTCTTCAGGTAGTTGGAGAGAGAGGGGTTTACCTTTAAGCATGATAAATGAAATGTTTCCATTTTAATATGTCTTATTATTTATTCCTTCTGTGGCCCTGCCAATAATAATTTTAGAGATTTAGTTGTCAAATGCTCCTCCCCCTTGTTTTGTGAATGATTTTTAGACTTGCCTGTATTAGGGAAATCTTTGTTTGGTACTCCAGTTTTGGAGAGGTTAAATAGGGCATATTGCCTTTATTTGTAATATGTAGAATTTTGTTTATTCTTTTGCAACCTAATAATGTAGTTGGCATAATAAATATGGGTCAAAGTTGGCATAATGAAATGGGTCAAAGATGTGCATATTGCTGTTAACCCCTGACAAAGGAAGGTGGTGGGAGCCAGTACATGCTGAAGGTTGTAAAGTGATTTGCAAATTGCTTTCAGAATAAAAGGTCTCCATTTTGTACCACAATCATTCTTTGCAAAGAAATAAATGCTTCAGTCTTTCTAAATAATGCAAATATTCGAATGTGTCCACATTCTCTGGAGCTTTGCCTATTTTCCTTTCTAGCCTACTGTACTTCAGAGGACAGAAAGGATTTTAAAATAAACTTTAATAAAATGTGTTAGTCTGAAAAGGGATACCATACTCCTGATTTTTAGCTAATATGGGGCTCTGCAGGTTTAAGACAAAAATGCTGCTCACACCCAGCCTGACTTGCGGCAGGTGGCAGCAGTGCTGTTCCAAAGATCTCCTTGCCAAGAAAAGAGAACTCAGCTTGAGTCAAGCAGATTTTTTTTGGGCCAGGACAAGGTTTCCGTCAACATGCAATAAAGAACATGAAGTATTTTGGCACAGAGATAAGCGTAGAGTAGATTATATTACTATAGTCCACCTTTTATGTAACAGGTTGAATTGTGCTTTGATAGCTGCTATAAAGCAAGAGCAGTCCAATTAATTGACAAAGGTTAATCTTTTCAGTGCTGGGTAACTGATGAAGCTGTATACACACTTTGAAGAAACATTGTTCAAAATCATTTATAGGTAACAGAGTTCTGAAGGGAGCTGGCAGATGTTATCTCAGAACCACTGCACCATATCTTTCAAAAATCCTGGAGCACTGGGGAACTGCCTGAGGATTGGAAAACGGCTGATGTGGTTCCCATCTTCAAGAAAGGGGAAAAAAAGCAGACCCAGGAAACTACTGATCAATCAGTCTAACATCAATACCTGGGAAGATCCTGGAAAAGATAATCAAAAAACAGAACTTGCGAACAACTAGAAGCAAACAAAAGTTATAACGGGTTTGTCAAAAACAGATCATTGCCAAACCAATCTAATTCTTCGATAAAGTGACTAAATTAGTAGACTAAACGCTGTGGACATAGTATACTTAGACTTCAGTAAGGCATTTGACAAAGTAGACCACAACCTGCTGCTTAGTAAGCTAGAAAAAGGTGGGATAGACAACAACACCATCAGATGGATCTGTAGCTGGCTGACAAACCGTACTCAGCGAGTAATGCTCGATGGTACTACACATGAAGAGAAGTAAGCAGTGGGGTACCACAAGGCTCCGTCTTAGGCCCAGTACTCTTCAATATCTTCATTAATGACTTAGATGAGAGAATAGAAGGGGAGCTCATCAAATTTGCAGATGACACTAAACTGGCAGGAATAGCCAACACCCCAGAAGACAAGCTCAGGATCCAAAAAGATCTTGACAAACTTGAACAATGGGCCCTATCCAACAAAACAAGTTTTAATGTGGAGAAAAGCAAAATCTTACATTTAGGCAGGAAAAATCAAAGGTTTAAGTACAAATTAGGTGAGACCTGGCTCAAAAACAGCAACTGTGAGAGGGACCTTGGAGTCCTAGGGACAATCACTTGACTATGAGCTAGCAGTGTGCAGCCGCAGCCAAAAAAGCTAATACAATCCTGGGTGGTATAAGCGGGCATAGAATCAAGATCATGTGAAGTATTAGTACCGCTTTATAAAACCCTAGTAAGGCCAAACCTGGAATACTGCAACCAATTTTGGTCACCATACTAAAAAAAAGATGTTGAAAAAGTTCAGAGAAGAGCAACTAAAATGATCAAAGGCCTGGAGACTAAAACACATGAAGAACGGTTGCAGGACTTGGATTTGGCTAGTCTAAAGAAAAGAAGAAACAGGCAATATGATAGTAGTATTTCAGTATTTGAGGGGCTGTCACAAAGAGGAGATCAAACTATTTTCCAAAGCAGCAGAGGGCAAGACAAGAAACAATGGTTGGAAACTGACCAAAGAGAGAAGCAACCTGGAATTAAGGAGAAACTTCCTAACAGTGAACAGCTTGCCTTCAGAAATCATGGGCACTCCATCACTGGAGGTTTTTAAGAAGAGGCTAGAGACAGTATCTTGCCTGAAATGGTATAGGTTCTCCTGCCTGAGCAGGGGGCTGGATTAGAAGACCTCCAAGGTCCCTTCCAGCCCTATTCTGTTCTGTTCTGTTCTGCTCTGCTCTGCTCTGCTCTGCTCTGCTCTATTCTATTCTATTCTATTCTATTCTATTCTATTCTATTCTATTCTATTCTATTCTATTCTATTCTATTCTATTCTGTATATACAATTGCAATATGGATATCCTCTTCCAGCTGGAAGACAAATATTTATTTCTAACTTGGCCATCATAATTCAATTTTACTTTACTGAGAGTAATATTTAAAAGCTGGTTTCCATGCTAGACTGACTATGCACAAAGTGACAAAGTGTATTGGAAATGCTGCCCTTATCTATGACCTTATGAATTGTTTCTCATGTGTTTTCAATGCAGCATCTACCTTAATATTCTTGGTCATTGTTAGTTACTGATTGCTGATGTCAATTAATGCATCTTCTAAAGGACTTTCTGGAAGATGGCTGGCATATTCTAAAGTTTGACTAAAATTAAGATGTATTTTGATTTTGTTAGTGTTCATGCTTTAATGTCTTTTATATTACTGTATTTTGAAAATCAGTATGGGTCGCGATGGGTCGGACACGACTTCACAACTAACAACAACAACATGTCAATTCAATCAAAATCAAAAGTATAGGAGTTTTATAAATAAAACGGAGCTTTGAGGCAAAAAAATATTGAATCTTTGCTGAACTAATACAATAACACTGATACAGAAATGGGTCTTGTTTATCTGTTTTTCCTAACAAGGTCAGAGTTTTGTAATATCTTTTATATGTCAGAGTTGGGCAGAGAGTAGATCTGAATTTGCTTTATT